AAAACGCCAGCTCCTAGAGGGTTGAATTTCATCCCAGCCAACTTTTTTTACTTTTTTCTGTAGGACGTAATTCCGTGACGGGCCTACTTTTGACAAGAGCAACACCTTGCAACTCATTTTGTAGAACTCTACACACTTCCAACGTTTCTGGGATTAGGGTTATACTGAGGTGATTCGTACATGGCGTAGGTTGTAAAGGGGCGATCTATAAAGAGAGAGGCTCTAGACGAGCATACGAAAGCGGGCTATCAAACGCAAAACTTTGCCATCTCCCGAAATAGAACTTGCGAGCACTCACCTGTGAGCCTGCCCTACTAAGCACTGCGCCATTAGGACTCTATGGCGATCCAAACAGTTCCATCTGATTGCTTCATCCTTGCTCACAAAGCATTACAGTTCTACATTAATGTTCGAGCTGTTATCCGGATTTTCTGGAATCATCTAGACTGCTTACAAAGCCGAAATTGGGTCAGGGAGACCTGCAAGCACCAGTTACTAGAGGATTGCATTTCATCCAAACCAATTCTTTTACTTTTCTGTAGGACGTAATTCCGTGACGGGCAGACTTTTCGCACGAGCAGCACCTGACCTCGACAACTCATTTTGTAAAACTCATGCACGTTTTCGAATGTTTCTGTGTTTAGGGGCATACTGAGTGCGTGGCGTCAACGGAGAACGACTGTACGGCAGATATGACCTATAAAGTTTTTGGTGACGCTCACACTGGCGTCTTCAAGAGGAAAAGAGAAAGGAAACTTAAATATTTGACTCCCTTCCTCGTTCCAGAACCACGCTGCCATGTCTCTCTGATTCCACCTCGCGTCTCGCCCAGTACCTCTCTGGCGCACTGTGGGATAGCCTTAGCGGCATTGCTCCAGCGGCTTTTTCACTTATTTTCTGCTCACCTGAGCTCTTTCACTTATAGTGCCTAACGTTAAGCTTCTTAGGGAAGGGGGACTCTGGAGCGGGTGAATTACCTGTGTGACAAAAGATGAAGTGTGTGAGAACATAGTGTGAGTAACTTACTCACCTCTGAGTCCTCCACTCCGCAAAAGCTTAGCACACGTCAAAATCAAACCAGTGCTAGGGCGCAAACGGGTAGAAATATGCCAAATGGCGACAGAGCCAAAATAAATGTTATATTCGTAGTCACGTAACCAAATAACTCTTTATACATGCTTACACCGAATTTGGTGAAAACAACCGTCGTGCCAGCTGGCGCCATATGGAGTGAGCATTAAAATGAAAGTCATATTTGAAGTCAAGGCATCAAATCACCTTTATGGCCGATGTCAGACTTTGCGAATCGCGCGATTCGCTAGCGTCTGCGGTCGCGTCGCGGCCAGTGAATCACTCAATTGGCTGGTACCGCAACGCGACCGCGGACGCTAGCGAATCGCGCGATTCGCAAAGTCTGACATCGGCCTATAAGCGAAGTTTCGAGGAAAAAAACAAAATTCTGAAATTTAGGGACACAAATGGTGGAAACAAAATGGAATAAAACGTGGAATAGTGCCGGTACTTCTTCTGAGAACATCTTTCGAATTTTTTATCGAAAAATGAGCTTATTACATAACAAAGATGTACAATTTTCAAATATATACCTATGGACACCACACCGCAGAATTGATGGGATCGTCCTTCTATTCTTCTCTATACTCTGCTACACCTTTCAGACAGTCGCCAACGCAACGTCGAGATGCTTCGCAACCATGGCGAAGATTTCCTCCACGGTGCCCTGCGCCTTGATCTGAATGTACAGACTTTTGAGTCGAAAAGCAATTTTTAGTTGAAATTTAATCGATTTTCAATATGCTTCATATGAGCGGAGTGTGGATATCCAGTTTCCTTCAATCACAGACTCTTCTCTGTTTATACAATGTATGTCACGTAGCTCGAGGCCGGACTATGCAAATGTAATGTTGAATGAGTCACGTGCGTGCATACCCGGCGATGCACGTGTGCACGAAAGCGTCAAAATGGCTACGGATTAGGATGCCATACACCAAAAGTTTGCTTCAATTTGATGTACCTAGAGCAAAGGTAGCAACATTGATGTTTTTGTGAATCAACTATTTAGTATCAACTATTAAGGCAGGTTGCCGGTTTGTTTCAAATGGGATCCATACTCCTTATACGACTAACGACATCACTTCAAAAGCAAGGGAAAATTGAGCACGGCGTACGAGAAAGAAACTCACCTGAATGAGTTTTTTCTTCTTTTCGTAGTATTCAACGACTGGAGCAGTGGCATCAGAGAAAGTCTTCAGACGTTTCTTTATCGTTTCCATGTTGTCGTCGGCACGCTCACTTGATAAACAAAAGGAATTTCACATTCGTTTCAACTGGCGAGCTATACAGCAGAGAGCAACCTCAAAAGAAGGTATCCCATATACCTAGATGCAGCCTATTCAACTAAGGGTGTAAGATGGAGCAGGCACTTCAGTATGGAGGCCCAAGGGTACTCAAAAACCATTGGCAAACATTGATTTTTATTAACCATGAACTCATAAAAGATCCCAGGCCAGGTGAAAATCGCTTGAGGAAACGACAACGGCTCGTCGAGGATTTTTCACGCTCTCCCACGCGGATGCTCACTCTCGCCACCCGCGAGCCGTCTGTGCTCTCCGCGCATGCATTCACTCTCGACACTACTCTCGCACAGTAGAGAGCCATGGTCGAGGAATTCCTCGACCGTTACTCGCCCTGATCCCAGCTGACGAGCTGATTTCTTTTTTGCACAAGTTGGTCGATTCATCCTGCAGTGGCACAACTGACCCTCCGCTACAGGGGTATGGGTCGCTAAAACAGAGGACACTTTTCCGCTTTTAGCAGCGCCGAACTTTTCGCTCCGAGAACCCCTGGTCCTCCCTGATCCCGCTGATGAGTTGATGAGTGGAGCTGAGATCCCCGCAACGAAAAAGTCGCTTTCTGTCCTAGCGGCCCACAACCCCGCCACAGTAACACATCTATGGAATTAGAACTATAATGGGCTAACAATAACGCAATCAGAACTATGGGAGAAAACAAGTGTTTACAAAAAAATCTTACCTGGTTTCAGCTCGATGCAAAAGTCGCTCAACCATGACCTTTTCGGGCACGTCGAAAAAGATGACCGACTGTGCTTCTTGAATCTGAATAGTTTTAATTACATTCACATAGTAAGGAAATGCCCCCGCATCTGAAGTAAGCTCGAAAGCTCAGAACACTTACTTCTTCCTCGAACAGTTCGCCTTGCTTCACCTCTCTGGGATAACCGTCTATCAGGAATCCTTTGCAAGACTTCGCAACATCTTTGAGCATCGCTTCTTTGATCAGATCTAATACAACTTCCTAAAAAAAAAGTACGATGACATCTGTTTAGAGAAGGTCTGGCATAAAAAGATTAACCACTCACTAGAGGAACCAACTCTCCAGCTTCCATGATTTGGTTGAGTTGTGTGCCTCTCGGAGAACCAGATTTCACCTGCAATCTTGGATATGAAATTAACGTATATCAACGACAACCTATATATCTTCTGAAAATTTATAAGTGCCTTGTAATGGGATAGGGAAGTGGAGGACCAGCGCGACGCGCTACTCGTCCGCGCCCTCTCTAATGCGAACTCGCTAAGTCCAACTTGTCTGCATGCTATGTGACTCACTTCATCCTCATACCCCTCCCCCAGCGAACTGATTGCATTCTCACTTGCTCACTGATTCACGATTTCGCAGCAGCATTATCACTATTTCGTTGAGAGTTCGCGGACGACTAAAGCGTCGCCCCGCCCGCCGACTGCCCCTCCTCTAACTGACATTTATTAGCACTCATCAGTCTGTTCAACCCACCTCATCTCTAAGCAGATCTCCTGAAGATAGATGT